CTCTACTCTACTCTTTTTCCTCTTCTATTTAACATATTAATAATGATTAAAAAAGCCTCATGCGATTTTATGGCGCTGCAAGAACTGGTGATGATACAGTCCTTTGACTAAACGTTGTCGATGATCGGATCATTCCTACGCGCCTAGACCGAAAAGCATAACGGGTAAATTACCCAGAACTTGCATCATCCAAACTGCTCACCAGTTTAAATCTTCGCCGTATGCTCGAGGCATGGTTTTAGCAAATTAAATGGAATCGAAAACAGCGAGCTCAAGACGTGTTAGATAACATATGCGGCAGCTAGTAACTGTGAATTAATTATCCCCATGATCCTTTTCGGTCTAGGCGCGTAGGGATGAAGCCGATCAAACGACAACGTTTAGTCAAAGGACTGTATATTAGTATATTAAAAACCCCTTTTACCTCCTACTACGTCAAAAGATCTTAATATTAGCAGACTAAGTAAAAAAAATAGGAATGATCAAACAGCTTTTAAGCGGTTTCAAATTAACAAATAGACATCAGTTTTTATGTGTCTGTCCTGTTATTGACGATAAATTGCGTCATCACATTGTCAAAGTAGTGTGGATCCACGAGGCATGGCCGAGTAGATCCGCATACAATAGACCTCCTCGGCTCTGATGTAATGTTGACAACATTACGCTCAGCGCTCCAGAGCCGAGAAGGTCTATTGATAGAAACATTTTGTTTGACCCAACCCCCATACCATAAATTCAATGATCTCTAAATACTTACCGCTTTGTATCCCATAGCCCGGTTTTAGCAGGTCACCAGCTCCAACGCCTTTGGTTGATCGACCTCCTGCTCCAGTCCCAAAAGAACCTATCAAGGATAATAGGTCATCTCGACTAGGGGGGTTTCCCACGCCGATGGTCTTAGCAATGCAGGAGCGACAAGGTAAACTAGATAGCACCCTTCGACGTCTTTATAGAACAGACTGAAATGTGGACATTTCTTATATGGCAGACGTGCTCACTGGAACAATATGTTTTTCCCCTCGTAGCCTCAAATTCAAGCGCTTTAGGATCGGGTTACCATCAAATTTTATCGAACCCTGAAACAACCTCTGGGCTGATC